CCTACTCTAGTTGCAATTTAAGATGCAAGGTAACAGGATTTCAGCCGTTGTGAAAATTTCCCCAGAGGCCACTGGCTTAGTTTGTTGCTACAAAAACAACAAGGAATCTTGGAGTACTTCTGAGACTAACAAGTTGTCCTTGGCATGAGTTTTTGTGAGCATAGCTCATTTCTTGAGGTGAAGGGAGTACAATATTCAGGCCACATGTTTGTACACACACTGTGGAGAAGAGGAATAAGACAGAATGAAATGAGATATAGAAAAAGACAAGTGTGACACAGTTCAGTGACAGGTGCCAATTCTTCCATGATGTTCAAGAAGAACAATATGGCATTCTCAGTGTTCTGGGGAAATCAAAATGACAGCTGCTAGGAGATGTCATGATGGCTCCTTCCGCAGCTGAAGCGTTGCCCCAGATCAGACATGAATCCTAGACTGAAGGAGTGGAAATTAAACTTAGTAAACCTGTGGTAGCTGCTGGTTTTCTGTTTGTTGGATAGAGGGCGCCACTTTGTTTTCTACAAAATACTCTAGAACAGGGCAAGGTCCAGGGAATTCTGGGTAAATCAAAAGCATAGCAAAACATCAGTGGACAGCTGTTCACTTTGCTGCCACAACCAACATAGGCAGTGGCAGAAGAGAGTAAGAACAAAAGCTACCGAAGGATGAATCTCTGGAGGCAAAAATGTTGAAGCTGAGGCTGTCTTACTACTACGGGCGCATCAAGAGAAGGCAGGATTCTCGGGGGGGGGGGGTAATAATGCTGAGAAAGGTCAAATGCAGCAGGAAAAGAGGAAGACCAAATATGAGATGGGCTGATTCCCTAAAGGAAGCCACTGGCTTGAGTCTGCAAGAGCTAAGCAGGGCAGCTGAGGACAGGACATTTTGGAGACCATCGCTCATTCATAGGGTTGCCATAGGTTGGAGACAACTTGACAGCACACAGTAACAACAACAACAGCAGCAGGCAAAACTGAGTAACGAAACAAACGAAATGCTAACAAATAAAGCACAGCACAAATGAATTCTGATGAAGGGGGCAGGAGAGACACATTTTCAGTCACAAAAACAAATAGAAACAAAATTAAAATTATATTTATTCTTCACACCACTCCCCCTTCTACATTTCCTTGGATGTTATATAACTGATTGAACCGACTAGCAGAATGTATTTGGCTTGATTAGTCACCTATTCTGTTCAACATATGCTCAACGCAACTCATGATAAACTGTTTTCTTTTTTTAAAATGTTATTAAAAACAAGCATAAAGAATAACAACATAACAGGACATCATAAACATAACAACACATTGAACAACAACAACAAAAACCCACACCTAAAGATACAAAACTTCCAAACAATTGTAATAAAAGTGCCCCCCTCCCACCAGGATCCCTGGAGATGAAGCCACTTCTCTTCCTTCCATAGAATCCTGCCCCCTGCCAAAATTTTAGCAACACTTGCAATGGTGTGCTTCCCTTCCCCTTTATTAACACACAATCAATAAATTCTCCCCAAATATCTATAAAAGTGTACCCTTTAACGATCCTTTTTAATTTTTTCTATTACACGTTAGCTTACAGTATAATGAATAGCTATATTCCTTACTTCTTTATACCATGGATTTAATGGTACAGAGTGGCCCAGCATATTAATCACCACTGCTCTTTAGAAAACAGTCTTTAAAATATTAAACTCTATGTCTATACAGCTGAACGAAAATTTTTACAAGTTAGTGTGGAGATGGTCTCTAACTCCAGTAAAATTAAATCAAATAAATATGGATTAGTCTAAGTTGCTTTAGAGAGAAAACTCGTACTTATTTTCATATGTGGTGGGAATGTGAGAGTGTATTGAAATTTTGGCAAATGTTTTTTATGGAAATAAAAGATACTGCTTAGCAAAACTTAGAGGTGTGTCCCAAAATAGTCCTTTTATCTATAATGGGCATGGAGCAATGTAATTGGTCAACTAGAGAACAAAGTTCAACCTCATCAAGAGCAACAATATTAATGATAGCTAAGTATTAGAAAATAGAGTATGATTTTCAATTAAATCCATGGTATAAAGAAATATGGAATATAGCTATCATTATGCTGTACCTGGGCAGATACCAGAACCCCTGCTTGCTGTCAGTCAACACGCTGACAATGAGCTAGCTTCGAAGTAAGCCCCCAGTGAGGCACTCCTCAACTCGGCCTTGTGAGAAGTCAGTGGAACTATTTCTTTGTGCATCCATGCTTTGTTCTTCCAAAACGAAGAGACAGTCAAAAAATACTCAGAGTGCTAGTTCGGTGAAGCTATTGGAAGAACTTCCAAAAATAATGGCTTGGACATTTTCTGCACCCTGGCTGTCTGAAGACTGGTGTTCAAATACACCAACATTCCACTTCTTCGAAGCTGTATAGGTGAGGCTTGGCTGAATTATTGTGGTCGTCATCACCCACAAGTTACATAGGTTAGCACAGTGGTAGAGCACATGTTCGGCAGGTAGAAAGTTCCTTTTCCATCCCCACAGTCTCCAGGTAAGGCTATCCTGCCTGAAGCTCTGGAGAACAGGTTCTACTACGATGGACAATATTGAGTTAGAAGGACCAATGACCAATGAGGCAGTTTCTTATGTTCTTGTGTAGCACAAAAACACACCCTGTAGACAATTTCAGAATGAGGCAGTTTCTTATGTTCTTGCGTAGCACAAAAACACACCCTGTAGACAATTGGTTTGTGGATTGCTGTTGTCTTCTGACATTTCCAGACATCAGTGTATTATGAACAACTTTTGGTGTCTCATGGCAGTGGCATTCAAAAGCTAAGAAGAGTACTGTGGTGCAAAATGGCTAAGAGGGAGAAATGAAAATGTGCCTTTAATCATGAACAGAATTTTGTAAGACTTTGTGTAGGGAATGGTTGCCAAAAATGAACTCTTGTTCTCAGTGCTAGAGACTTGTCCAGGATTCTACTCAAATAAGTTTTGGAAATCATAATTCAAGAGGAACCCATTTGAAACCCTAGATACAGGACACATTCAAATGTCACAGTAAGCTAGGGAAACCCAAGAACCGTGGTTTATGAAGGACAAGAAGCGTGCTGATGCATCCTGTGTAATCACTCCACATTACAGTGGAAGGGGCTAAATAAACTGCAGACCTGCAGTCAATGGTGTGTTTCCTGTGACATCCGAAATTAGTGATGGTTAGCACTCTGGAATGTTCTTCTCACAGCAAACCAGGGAAAGAAATCTAGAGTTTGTACTGTGGTCCATCTAGCTTGTTGATGGGAGAGGCTGCTTTTAAGGTGCCCATATCCTCTTGAAAGCTCTATTTGGTCCTGGGACAATTGTTCAGTTGCTGAGTCACACACTTGGTGTTTGAGCAGAATGGGCTTCACGGCAATACGTGACTGGGCTTTGAGGCAATTTGTTTTATCAACTCTTTGCTGTGTTGACTTGGGGGCCATGAGAATTGTGGATCAGCACAGCTTGAGGGCACCAGATTAGTAATGGTGGATCTTTCTGATGTTCCCTAATACAGTAGGGAAATGTTTACTTGTGGCAGTTAGCTGCACTACAACCATACTTATTTCCAGTATGATTTTGATAGAAGGTATAAATAGCATTGGGCTCATTAATTATGGAACAACTTACCACTTTGCTCCTAAATCAACAGCCATCATACTGTAAAACTCGTCCTGAAATAGAAAAACAGAAGCCTCACTGAAATATTAGTACATGGAAAAAGACATTATATATTCAAATATATCCAATAGTTTTAGCCTGCATTAAATAGATACAACAGTGGACTGTCCTCTTGTTATCTATAATTGATAATTAGAAAATCATCCTTTTTAATTAAACTTGACAGATATTGATTGCATGGTATTGTACAATTAGTTGTCCCTGGAGGCTGTAAGCAGGATACATATCCACATACATGATGGGTGTGGTGGGTGTTTTGTTTGTTTTAAGCTCAGGTTCAATATTTCTAATTAACTTTGTGAGTAGCCCTCAGATATTCACTGCACCATTTTCATAGCTCTCCAGTTCTAGCAACAACGGTGTTTTGCAAACAGGAATCTGACACTTCACAATCAAAAAATCTCTATAGTTAAATATTTTTTTCTGCCGCTCCACTGACTATCAGTTACAGACATAATTACTGCAACTAGATGACATTTCGGAATGCTGTGGTGATTCTAAGCAAAAAAATTACTCTCAAAGAAAAATACATTCAATGTCTTTCTGTTGGAATTCTTTTTCCAAGAGATTTATCTAAACTACCCTGCAGGCCCCAAGGCTGCTACTCCACATGTGGCATCTGCCTCACTTGAAGGCCTCTGTGACATGAGGCAAAGTCACATTCTCACACCCTTTGCTCTCCCATATGCAATAATATGGGAATAATTTGCATGCTTAAGATGGTCTGTGCAGTGTGCTTTGAACACTAAACAGTGATACGCAAATGCTGAATATTATTGTATTTACGGGGAAGAGACTGTACCTCATGCTGGACTAGCATGCACCTTGTATGTGGAATGCTGCTGTTTTGATCTTGTTATCTCCAGAGTAGTGATTTTTCTACGGGTGATGAGGGAGACATTTGTGAACTGGTGCCAGTCAACATAAGCAATAGTGGGCTAGATGGACATTTGGATTTTAAACTAAACATTTATGTTAACACAGGAGCCAGGTAAGGGATACAGTCCATAGTCCCACCCACTCATCTACCATATGCCACATACATATTATTCTAGCCTTCCCTGCCATGTTTGTACAGCACAAATGTCTGTAGCCGTGAGGAAAACTCACAAGTCAGCTTCCGCATAATCAGGAGACTGGTACAATCAGTTCAGGTAAGTGGTCATAGGGCTTCTGGCCTGTGGTTCATTAAATTCTCAGATTAAAAACAACTTCTGAAACTATAAGCATTTTTATATGCACTACTATGGGGGTATTTATGTACTTTTAAACTGCTTCTCTCTTCCCCCCCCCCCCGCCCCACAGGTTTACCTATGAAATTGCCCCCGTTTTTGTCCTCATGGAACAAATAACACTTCGAAAAATGAGAGAAATTATTGGATGGTCAAATAAGGATGGAGATGGAATATTCTCACCAGGTAGGTCCTCTTCTTGACATCTTCCTCAAAATTTCAAATGCTAAATGGTGCTAGATGTAGGCCTTCAATGTGTACCTTTAACGGTACCACAGTTTAAACAATAGACGGGGCTCAGGAGCATGCAGCTGTCCAGATATTCTCCCCTCAGCCCTTGTTGCTGGCTGTGCTGGGGAAGCGCTATGGGAATTTCAGTTCAATAGGATCCCAGAGGGTAGCATGATCCCCATGCTCGTGTTAGCGAATGGGCATGAGAAATGTTTTCCCGCCTACTTTTAATGTAGTGTCCTGACAGATTCACCCTCTGCTTTTCTTTCTTTTTTTTTCCTTTTTTTTGCCATGAACACTCATTGGTTTCTCAGCCCAGTGACCAGACCATATACTGGTCTCATCTATACTGGCTCATCTATATTGGCACAGTAATCTAATTGGTTCTTTATGTGTACATTTAAAAATGATTTCTATCACAGAGAAAATGAAGTCTTGCACATATTCAACTTTCTGCAGCAATGGCTCGGAGGCTTTTGTCTTCATTGGGAAGAGAGTCTGGCAAAGCTGAAGAGACAACATTGTTAACTTTTATTATACTTTTTTTATGCATCTCTGTCAGAGCTGTCATAAATGGGCTGGAAATGCAGCGGACATTTTGTAACTCAGATAAATTCTGTATAGCCCCTTACAAGTAAGCTATGGGGGAAAGGAGGTCAAAACCATTGTACTCAAATGAAGGGAAAAGCTGCCTGTTGGTCAACACTGTTTGCCTTTTCTTCAAAAGTGTGAGAGTAGCTGGTGATTGTAAGAAGATTAAATACTACTGCAAATGATCTTGCTATGCCTTCTCTTCCCTTCCCTTCCCATCCCATCATGTCCCCAACTGCACTGTCTCACCGGACATGAACTCCTTGGTTGGGCCTTAAAAACAGCACCACTGCCTCTCAGGCAGTCTATAAGATGGACATGTTAATACTGATTAAGTCAATGGATCTTAAAAAAAAAAAACTCTGAGGCCTTCTAATGTGCTATAAGACCTAAACATAATGAGAGCTGAAAGAACTCTGAAGGGATCTCTTATTTGTGATGCTATTTCACCTAATAAGGGAGGAAATCAACATGGTGAGGCAGAAAACAGGAAGCCCAAAACTATCTGTGATTTATTAATTATGAGAAGGACTGGTTTTCCCCAGATTGAAGCTGGCTGCCAGAGAGGGGACCTTCCCAGCGGTGCGACACCTTTTCTCGAGATAGTGGTCCCTTGACTTTTATTTTTCCAATATGAGCTAATGTCTATGCTGTTCCTTCATGCCTTTAACTGGCTTTTAGTTTTTGAGTCTCTTTTCATGGTGCTACCACTTGCTGACGTTCTACATTGATTTTTACGCCTGGTTTTATTAAGCGGTTAACCAGAAACAATTCTGGCTAATAAAAGCTGCAGCTCTAAATATCTGAGAGCAGCATATGAAGACTTAATCCTGTAATTACGGTAATATCGTCAAGGAGGGACCTTGCCTTGTTTTTACTTTAAGGGCTGCATTCCATACCAAACCTCCTACCTACCCCCAAAAAAACCTGAAACAAAATCTGCGTGTGAACATAATGCAAATGCTGTTCATTGCCAAAAAAATTCTGGAGCATATTATTGGAGACTGAGTCAATTTATTCAGAGGCAATGGCCAGGCCTTTACAATAGTCTTCTTTTTCACCCTGCCTTATTTGGAGGTATTCCCTAGAACAGCCCCCAGCATTTTCTTGTAGTTGTGTATTACAGAGGCAAGCTATTCGTGAAAAAGCTGTTTTCTGGGGAAATGTTATCCACTATTACCAGAGAAATCTTGACAACCTTCTGAGGAAACTTGTTGCTCCAAAGAGCACTTTGAAAGCAAGTGGCCAGAATCCTATTGGTTAGTTACCCTGCCACAACTGCAATGGCATAAATTATGGTGGGAAGTTACTGCTAGTTAACGGGTTAACACACCAGCTTAACCAACTGGTGCACAATGAGGAATGCAAGTGGTGACTCGGAGACTAGTGGCAATTCACTGCTCCAGTTTGTGCCATTATGCTTAACGCCTCCTTAATTAACCGACAGGATTCCGACCACTGTTGTTAAAAGAACTCTGTCCACCAAACAAAGGAGATAGCTCCTGTGAAAACTCAGAATTTGAAGCCCTGCCATTAAACTTTTCAGAGTGATGCATCACTGTTGTTAATTCTTTCATATCTGACTGAAATAATATGACACATTTCACAAATTATGCTTTTATATCTTTGCTCATAATATAGATCTTTTCCCTTTTTCTTTTCTAATATTTTATTATCATGTACTCTTGTTACAGGTGGTGCTATATCCAATATGTATAGCATCATGGCAGCCCGCTACAAATATTTCCCAGAAGTCAAAACGAAAGGCATGGCTGCAGTGCCAAAACTGGTCCTCTTTACCTCAGAACATGTAAGCTCAACAAGCTTGGTTTTAATTAACTTCTATTATTATAAATACTCTATGAGAGCAAAGAAAGATATTTTTTCACCATCACTAGCCTAATCTAGAGAGACATTACTACTTGGTTTCGTAAACTCCCCCTCCAAAGTTCAGTTGTAGAAAAGGTAGCCATGTTAGTATGTGCAAGCACTATAGGTAAAAAGAAAATAAAAATAAAGGAAAAATGAAAAAGATCAAAACATGGTGGCACCTTAAAGACTAACCATTATATTTTAATGTGAGATTTTGTGGACAAGTCCACTTCCTTAGACATAATAAGAAACAAAGATAATGTGGCAAATATACATTGCATTAAAATAGAGAAGACAAAGATAATATGGCAAATATACATTGCATTAAAATAGAGAGATCATGGTTGGTTCATTGGCTGGCTGTTTGTTTGTTTGTTTGTTTTCTTCATTGGCTGGCTGACTGATTGTTTGTTTGTTTGTTTTGGTTGGTTGGTTGGTTGGTTCATTGGCTGGCTGGTTGGTTGGTTGGTTGGTTGGTTGGTTGGTAAGAAAGTCAGTGGGTATTTAACAGTGGGGTGATAGCCTCTTTGATATACGGGTAGTCATGAATAATGCTTGTGCTGTAAAGGATATAAGAACCTCTGTCATGAATAACAATGGCAGAATAACACAAACATTAATTATACTGAGGAGACTGCCCTTTTACACTTTCTAACCACCTCTTCTTTGTAGGAGGTTGTCCTATCTGGGGTGATTCACAGTGTTGTGTGAATTACCCCAGATAATGGATGACCACAAGAGCAACATGGCAATGAGTTAGGATTCTCTGGTTTACCTTGAAGTTTTTAGGTGGATCTGTTGAGGTGGAAAGTATATCTGGAATATATGATACAGTACAATTATTATAGTGTTCCTATTTTGTAGTGCCGTACTCTAAAAATGTTGGTTTGTTTGCTGAGATCATAAAAGCTTATCATACTCTAAAATGTTAGTTAGTTTGTTTGCTGAGATCATAAAAGCTTATCACTTATGACCCTTTCCTACATCTAAACCTTATATCAGAACTTTCCCTGTGACCACACTTTGTGGTTTTTGCTATTGTTTACATGCACGTTGGTGCATGTAAACAGTTTATTTGTTGGTGTTTGGATCTGAAGCACCTGTCAACAGAAAAGGACGCAAAATGTTAGCAGCCTTTTTTGCATGCTCTTATTTCCAATTAATTAGAAGTCACACAGTGCTGGCAACTGTTGGTACCACCTAGTGAAGCGTGCATTATACGTTTGGTTTCTTTCATGAGAAAAAGTTTGGTATGTTTCCTTTGCTCTTGTCATTGTAGAGTCACTACTCAATAAAAAAAGCTGGATCTGCACTTGGTTTTGGAACTGAAAATGTGATTTTGGTAAAGTGCAATGCAAGGTAAGATATTCTGCTTATGTGGTACTTCTGTAGTGTTCACCTACAGTCCAATAAGATGATAGTGGCATATTGACAAGATTTGTTAACTTAAACTGTGTATGCTGTCCATTTTGACTCTGTCTTCTTCTAAATTGTCTTGTGTTTTTGTTTCACATTGACTGCAGAGGCAAAATAAGTGTCCATTTTGACTCTTTCTAAATTGTCTTGCGTTTTCTGTTTCACATTGACTGCAGAGGCAAAATAATACCAGCTGATTTGGAAGCCAAAATTCTGGAAGCCAAACAAAAGGTAACATTTTTTGGTTTATAACATGTAATATATTTCTTGTTTTGATTAGTATCAATACATGATATTCACTTTTACTTTAATTTTAAGTGAGTTTAAGACTACACTGTTAGATTGTACAGGATAAGTTGCCATTAGAGTTCCATGTAGTTTACTCCCAGGTGTTGGAGTTTTAGGTACAACCTCTCATGCTGTCTGCAATTTGAGGGAATTTTCTGGGCTTGGGTGAATGTCTGCTGATCCTGCACTAACCAATTGCTCCTTCCAGCTTTTGAAAAAAGAGAGCCCCGCCTCTCTTCTGAGCACCCTATCCCTCTTTTTCCTCAGTGGGTGGCAGTTGTTTGTCGCTGTTAATCTGTTTGGTTGCTAAGATGTGTGCAGTAAAGAAAGCAATATACATAAGTCTGGAATTTCAACCAACTATACGTAAAAAAATGTTTTTTTATTCTTTCTCCTATTAATGTCTCAGAGTGAGTTATTGAGACTTTAAGTACCAGTTAATGAGAAAGGGGTGGACTCTGGGGAACTGATAGCTATTCTTCTCTGTGGATCTCTTTACTTCTACTGTGTAGCAAAAACAATGTTACCAGAAATTCAAAACCCTGCAACACCAGGTAAATGTATAGGCTCGTACCATAAGGCTGCCGTTGTAAACTCACTATTCCATAACCAGTCCTGTTGGATATACCATGTTTCCCTGAAAATAAGACAGGATCTTATATTAATTTTTGCTTCAAAAACGCATTAGTGGTTATTTTCAGGGGATTTTTTTTCCATGTACAACCATCTACATTTATTCAAATATAGTCATGTCATCTTCTGGGTGCTACACAAGGGTGGAAGGTGGGTTTTTTTCTTAACTAGGGCCTATTTTTGGGGTAGGGCTTATATTTCAAGCATCTTGAAAAATCATACTAGGGCTTAGTTTCAGGTTAGGTTTTATTTCCGGGGAAACAGGGTAGTGAGTCTCTTTTTCTAAATATGCACAGAATTGCACTGTACAGATAAATCTCATGTGCACAGGCCACAGACAGCCCAAGATGCTTTGTTTTCTGGGGCAGATGACAAGATATTAGATGTGAGGATATCTTAGAACTGCAGAGCTGGAAGGGCCCCTGAGGATCATCGAGTCCAGCCCGTCAGGGAAACACAGTGGAGAATCAGACTCCCGGCCTCTCACTCCGCAGCCAAATACCTAAACCACTGAGCTATCCAGCAGTAAACACTCTCCCATCTTATATAAAGACATGAATTAGATCAGCCACTGAATATTACTTCAATATTGGTTAAGGGACATTGTCTTCCGGTAATCCGAGGGTAGTGGGCTGGTTTTAGAAGGTACAGGATAGGCTGCATGGCACAAATTGATTTGTCCTCCAGTGCAGATAATAGAAGAGGAGGTCAGACAAACTGTCTGGGTGGTAGCACTGCAGGCCCTAAGTATCTGCCATATGCCGTCATTGCTTCACTCTGCCTAATTGTAGGGCCAGGGGCAGTGCCCATGCAAGAACAAGGTGCAGGGGACAAACAACGAAGATTACGCTCTCCATGTTCTGCTTGTAAAGATCAACAGACAGCTTACAGTATGCTGTAGGTATCAGGATGCTGAACTCTTTCTGTGGCCTGATTCTTTGGCAAAGGTTTTATATTATTATTTTTTAAAAAATATATTGCATATGGTTCAAATTTAAAACTCTTTAAAAGGGTTCTTTAGCTTAGCCGATCTCAAACTTTTTGGGGTCCCAGCTGTAAACACAATATGAAAGAAATACAGGCTGAATCCGGATTGTGTGAGTCACATAACAAACCTTATGAGGTGGTATGTGAAGAACTGTTAGCAAGTCTGTAGCCCCCCCTTCAAATGTGCCAGAGCCCCCCCCCCCGGGGGCCCATATGCCCTTCTGATTGAGAATGGCTGGTAGCAGACGGTCTCTCTTTCCACATGTCCTTTGAAGAACTCCAGGAAAGGAAAGAGTGACCTGACTGTTAAAAAAATAAATAAATAGAAACTAGTTAAAAGGGGGAGGGGAGTCTGTTGTAATTTAAGTTTGTTTGAGTGTCATTTTAGATGTTTGTACTTCCTGACAACTTCCACCTTCTGTTCTGATTTGTAGGGATACGTTCCCCTTTATGTGAATGCAACGGCTGGCACAACAGTTTATGGGGCCTTTGATCCAATCCATGAGATAGCAGACATCTGTGATAAATACAACCTTTGGCTCCATGTGGATGTAAGTAACTAGGGCTGCAGTCCTATATCTACTGCTACCAGGAAATCAGCCCCAATGAGCTCAGTGGGACTTCCTTCTGAGTCCATATGTATAGCCATGTGGTGCAAGACTTTCACCCTATGTGCCCCTGCTTTAACTCCTATTGAGGGCAGTGGGGCTTGCTTGCTCGTGAGATTCCTCTGGGGATACCCATATCGTTATCAAGAGGGGAAAGGGTCCTACTGGCTCTGCTAATTAACATACCATCAAGTTCTTAAAGAAATGTCTCAAGCTCCCCTTAATTCCAGTAGAAGTATGAAATTGATGGAGCGCCTACTGTGGAATCCTACCGTAGTTCTCATCTGAAAATCCATTCTCAAAACTTTGATTGGACATCAGACGCAATTTACAAGAAATTTTGAAGGTTCTGAACTGTTTCATTTCCCTCAAATCACTTTCAGGCTGCCTGGGGAGGTGGATTACTCATGTCCAGAAAGCATCGTCATAAGCTAAACGGAATAGAAAGGTAATGACCCTCTTGCCTTTTTAAAAAATCCTATAGTAAAATCCTAGCTCTAAGACATGCTGACAGTAAGGGCTCGGAATGGGCAGACATTGCTTGTGGTGGCACAACTGCCCTTGCGCTGGCCGATCTCAGAGATCTGCCAGCAGAAGGAGCTGCTGGCAGAACAGTAGTACCTGGAGCATTGCCTAAACACCGTCAGGGTGAAGTCCTAACCAGCCTAACCAGATGAACGTCTGCAATTTTAAGACCAGCTTCTCCCAAAGCAGGTATGGCCAAAAAAGGGAGGCAGAGGAGGGGTGGGATGAGAAAGTAACTAAGTTACTCCAGAACAAAACCTTTTCTAGTCAAGGAACACAGTTACTTTGTACCAGCACAGTTAGCTCAAAGCGAGGGTATTTTTTAGTAATTCTCACCCTGTCTTAAGCTAGGAGAAGCTGGACTCAGCACCACATCTGCTGGCCAAGTTTCATTTAAACTGACCTGCAACTATTTTGGCTGGTGAGGATTTCACTATAAATTTATTTAGACACATGGCATTTCATAAATGCCTAGGAAGCAAAAACCCGCTCAAGGCTACCGGGGTTTCAAAAAGCCACTGACAAGCTGGAAATGCAAATGGGAACAAAATTATTACAGTGGAGGGGGAAACATTTATGTTAATGTCTGTCTGAACATTCCTGGAGAGGAGAAGCTATTGTAATGCATGTGTTTAATGTACGTTTTACATTGCATTACAATTTGAATGGCGAAAGAGATTTCCCAAATCTGGCCCAAGTCATATTGGTTTGAATCTGCTGCTTGTTTGCGTTGTTTACCTCCAGATAAGGCACAATCTAGGCTAGCCTTCACCAACCTGGTGTCACCCACATGCATTCTGTTCCAATTCCTGCCAATCCCAATGCAAGACATTACCCAGTGATCAAGACTGAGATTCAGTACATCTGGGAGGTGCTGGGTTTGGAAAGGCTAACGAGTTGATGCCTGAGCAAAATGATTTCATCCACAATGGAATCAATTGATTGATTGACACTCTGACCTTCTTTGTGGCAGTTCTGGGTGGCTAATCGCTTCATAAATACCCTATAGTAAAAGGGATAAATTACCAGTATCTATAGCCACACATTCCCAATATCTAAAACAGTGTTTGATAATATACAGTAACAGCAATAGGAGCATGCAACATAGATTTGAGTGAAATGCCTCTTCCACCCTAGCGACACAACACTATGTGCATTTTATTTTTGAGTTAGTCCCCTAAACCTCAGTGAGGCTTTCCTTCTTTGCAAGATAGCGGATTGCAAATGCATCTTCCTTCCGCCATACGTAGCTAGCTCCTGGAACTGACATGCCTGTGGCCGTACCTGACACCAGGCTCCTGCCCTACTAGGAACAATATGGAGATAAAAAGTCTATACCATAGATTTGAGATGGCGAATCCTATCTGTAGTCTTATTTTGCAGGGCAAGCAGTTTGAAAAAGCAAGACATCGCAGGTGGGAAAAGCATTTAGGAAAGCTCTTAGTTCAGGATCAATTTCCGTGTCTCCGAGACAACGCTGAGCAACTTATAGTGCAATGAAGAACAATTAACTGCTGCTCAATCTAGGCTACTTCAAGGACTCAGAAAGTTCATTTCCCAAAGAGCCACTCTTCCACTTCTCTGAGGCAGGGATGAGGAGACTTGAGTTTTGTGGGACCTCCTTTTGCAAAATACTGGCATCTAAAAGATAAAGAATTTTAATTTAGCGTAAGCTGTCGTAGATTGCAGTTCAGTTGCCCGGGTGCCTCTGAAGAAGCTAAGGTGGAATCCACAAAAACCCTGTGCCAAACACAGTGTGCTAGTCTTTAAGCTGCCACAGGACTGTTGGGGGTTCTTCCCCCCCCCCCGGATGGTGTATTAAGTTTCCTCTCTAATTCCGTTAGGTCTTACTCTGTTCATTTCATTTACAGAGCCAACTCTGTCACATGGAACCCACACAAGATGATGGGAGTTTTGTTACAATGTTCTGCTATTCTTCTTCGGGAGAAGGTTTGTCTGGATACCGACTTTTCTCCTTCAAAAAACAAAAGGTCATCTAATGTCTTCCCAACCTAGTGCCCTCCAGATGTGTTGCTCCGCAGCTCCCATTGCCCCTGGCTGTGTGGTTAATGTTGTTCAATGTTGTGGCCTGAAATGAGGACTTGCCAGGGAGAACAGGCTTCCCAGAACTCATTTAAAAATAACCAGTTATTGATGTCTTTTTTGCAATCATTAAAGCATAACTTTACCAACTCTACCAACATGAACTCTACCCGACTTTGGGAGGCAGTGGAAGACAGGAGGGCCTGGTGTGCTCTGGTCCATGGGGTCACAGAGAGTCGGACATGATTACATGACTAAACAACAACAACAAAGCATAACTCCCCATGTTGAGTGTACAACTAAATGGAAAGGACAGTTTGAGGGTTTGAGGGAAGCCAAAAGCAACACTGTCAGGAAGCTAAATCAACAACCAAAATGTGGACTGCAGCCATGAAATCAGGTGATGGAGCTATGCATCTAAGGAGGTGAATTATGCCTTTCGAGACTGAGCCTTAAAAGGGCAGCTATTAAGGAATAGAAAATATCTTTAAGGATGGAGTCCAAGGCTGAGATCATCCACATTATGCTAGTCCTGATTGCTATGTATGGATGTACAGTAAATGCTGGGCAATCAAGAAAGCTGACAGCAAAAAATATCAATTTATTTTTTTAAAAAAGGAAAGAGTCACAGATCCCAGAGATGACCAGAAAGAGAAGCAAATCAATCCTCTACTTTCAGTGGAAGCCACAATAAGAACTGGGGCTATTTGTACTTTCCGACATAAGAAACCACAAGACTGAATGGAAAAGTCAATAATGCTAAGGAAAAGTTGACAGCTGTAGAAGAAGACCTAACTTGAGATGGATTGATTCAATAAAAGAAGCCACACACTTTAGTTTGCAATACCTTAGTAGAGCTGTTAACAACAAGCTGTTCTGGTGGTCCTTAATTCATAGGGTTGCCGTAAGTCCCCGACGATTTGATGGAACATAGCAAGGCATAACTAAATCAGTAGAATAATCCAGGCCTCAGATTCAAGGAGTCTCATATTCAAATCCTGACTGCAGGTTTCAAGGGAGGTCTGAGAAGAAGTATACACACTTATCTGGGAGTGTAGCATGATCGAGTGGGTGAACCCTGGTCCAGTGGTTACTTAGACTTCACATCTTAGGTGTCTTCCGTGGTGGTTCACTCTTGCACAACTGAAACACCTGTTGCCCCTCAGTATTGGGCGGCACTGATGAGAGTTGCAGTCCAACCACATATGGAGGCCATGAGTTGTCCTCCTTAGCCTAGATCCATTCCTGCTTCATCCTCCAGTTTGCTTAGGGTGCATTATCAAGGTCTGCTTGTTATTGCCCCAGTATACTTTGCAAGCAACCTCTGCTCTCCTCTGAGCCTGGCTTCATGTGACGAAACTGGAACTGTACCCATAGAGGCAGCAGGAATGGTCCCGGCACCATTGAGAGTTTCTGGAGTCACCTGCTCACCCTGCTGGCACCCATGCAACAAATGCTGTAGGCAAGATGCACACCAGCAGTAGCCCCGGAGCTGGAGTGGGGAAGCCGTTGCTCCTCCTTCCCTAAGTGTCCGTCTTATGAGAAAGACATCTAAGGCACAAAACAATTGGGAAGGTGCTTGTTCCTGCTCTGCCATCCCTTATGGAGACGCATATTGTACAGGTAGCAATAACACCTCTTGAGCAGTATCAGTTGTGGACTGAGCCCTCCATAGCACTGCAGGAGGGGAACATCTGACCTCTATGAGCTGGTTGTTTGTGGAGAGATAAGAAAGGTGTAGCTGTTGTGATGCCGAGTAGGTGGCGGCAGCAACCACCAGGCCTGGTGTTCGAGTCGTGCCCTGGCTAGGGATTCTGGAACGAGTAAAGATCCTCCTGTCACAAAACAGTCTTCAAGCCTCACCTTGTCTCTCCTTCTCCCGCTGACTCCCCCCCACCCCCGATGTCCGGGCTTCTCTTCAAATGGATGGCAGTGCAGTTGATACAACCCTACAGCTCATGTAATCACTGAGAGCCAAACTAGAACTTTCTTTAATATTTCTTTTTGTTTGGCTAAATGCTTAGAACACATCACCTTAAAAGTAGCATTATTTTTAAAAAAATGCTCAGTAGCATAGTTAGATTTTTGGTACAATGAGCAATATTTACTTGTTACTCCTAAAGCTGTGCTTTCTGGAGGATATTTATGGAGGTGGTTACAATTAACTATTTTTTTAATTAACAAAAACAATTCATTAGGAATGAGTAACATAATACAGCATTCTTCCAACAACACGTAGCAAGCAGCATTATCATATAGCATCTTTTTTTAAAGTAACAAGCAGAGAACTGCTTTTGGAAAGTAAAGGAAAAAATCCAAGTTCTGGTTCCGTTGCATCTACTCAGATTCCTGTCCTGCAAGGATAAATGAGTCCTAACAGTTCAGCCAGTAGCAGCGGGCATAGATGGGTGGGTAGCATTTACCTGTATTTTGTGGTTAAAGGAGCGGACAATAATCTCCCATTTTGCACAGTGTGCACAAAACATATGTCTCCTGAGCTGGAAACGTGTCTGTAACCTGTGGAGTGAGTTTCAGAGACATGGTAGTTCACTTTGGCATCTATAGCAAAATACAGAACAACAGCAATGACACTCTGACATCTTGTGGCCTGTTTAAAGACTAACAGATTTGTTTCATTATTCTTCACAGTTTAGAGGGTACATTTTAAAAGTCCGAAGATTCTCTGTGGATTTGTTGCTTAGTCTCCTAGGATGCTGCAAGGCTTCCTGTTTTGTTTGTTCCGCTATACTTGTTGAATATATGGTAGCTGGAAAATTTGTTCTTCCTTTGGTCAAGCACGACCAGGGCTGCAGTTGAGCTCAGAGGGAACAAGGAAGCCTGAGGGAGGGAAGCCAATGATATCTTTTCTCCTGCCAGTAAAAATGCCAGTAGAAGTGCTCCGACCCTGCAGGCCCCAACTCCACAGCATCACCGATCAGTGTTCAGGGCTATGGATTATGTGAGCAATTGCTTTCTAGTGACAGAAAGGGATTGCTGTGTCCCTGTTTTCTTTTCGATTGGCATAGTCGGATGCTTTGCTCCTGCAGACCAGCTCTTGGAGTTATTCGTTCCTGTTCAGGAGATGTAACACAGGGAGAGAAAGAGTGTTGGTCACCGCCATTTGTTTCAAAACCAATGATTCCATTTTTATGCCACACAGATTTGTTTGAGGTCAAAAGAAATTAGTTAGCCATGTATGTGCAAGAAAGACTATACCCATACACTGGGGTCTTGACTTGAGAACTTAATTTGTTTCAAAACCAATGATTCCATTTTTATGCCGCACAGATTTGTTTGAGATCAAAAGAAGTTAGTTAGCCATGTATGTGCAAGAAAGACTATACTCATACATGTGCCATTTGCCTTCCATCTTTGTACCAGCATGCCATTCAAAATAAGGGGACTTTTGAAAGTGAAACCAGAGAAAGAATCTCAGGTGTGACTGAAAAACCGAACCTATATCTTGTGCGGAATGACCACAAAGGGAAAGATGCTGTAATGTATTCAAACCATATCACTTCATGTTTTATCTATTTATTGAGTCCATATATTTAAAGAGTTTCATCTCCCCCTCTTCCTCCCTTTTTTGCAACAGGGTATACTTCAGGGTTGCAACCAGATGTGTGCAGGGTATCTGTTCCAGCAAGACAAGCAATATGATATAACGTATGACACGGGAGATAAAGCAATACAATGTGGTCGCCATGTGGACATATTCAAATTCTGGTTGATGTGGAAAGCCAAGGTAAACAATAAGATGTCACAAATGTTCAGGCATTCCCATGATAATTACTTGGAAATAAGTCATACCATGTTTAAAGGGAACCACCCCCCGCTAAGGTTGTGACCACATGATCAAATACAGTGGGATCAGCTGCAGTTATAGTACAAGTCAACATGAAGTTTTGTTGTTGTTTTTTCTGATTGCAGAACACAAAGGCTAATTTGAATCAGTCCAGGGCTTCTACTTATTTTTTTCAAGTCAGAACAATTTAAACAACTTTTCCCCACATGATCAGTTGATACCACCCCCCGCTAAGGTTGTGACCACATGATCAAATACAGTGGGATCAGCTGCAGTTATAGTACAAGTCAACATGAAGTTTTGTTGTTGTTTTTTCTGATTGCAGAACACAAAGGCTAATTTGAATCAGTCCAGGGCTTCTACTTATTTTTTTCAAGTCAGAACAATTTAAACAACTTTTCCCCACATGATCAGTTGATTAAGGATCAGCTGCAGTTATAGTACGGGTCAACATGAAGTTTTGTTTTTGTTTTTTCTGATTGCACAACACAAAGGCTAATTCGAATCAGTCCAGGGCTTCTACTTTTTTTTCAAGTCAGAACAATTTGAACAACTTTTCCCCACATGATCAGTTGATTAATTCTTGTAAAGATGGGAGGTGTGTCTGTGGGTGGTGTTTCCGTGATGTAGATAGTCGGGGAGTGATAATCAGGACTGTGGAAACACCTGCCCCTACAGGCTTACTCTTTGAAAAGCAAATGGCTTGAGAGTGAATCGTAAAAGCATTGGCAAAAGTGGGAACAGAGGAATGGAAGGAAAGAAGGAAGGATTGTGATATGACATGCAAATTGATTTTTCCTGCCAATAATTTGGCCACAACCACTTAATATTATTCCTACATGTAACAACCAACATTTTATTAGTTACAACCACCAGCATAACACAGTTGGCTCAATTGCTGCAAGTTAAGAACTTAGCACTGGAACTTGTTGATCCATGACAAGTTGCACATCCTGTTGCACAACAACAACTGCCTATGTGAACTTATTAACTTGTAGTAACTTGCCAAGATTTACACTACTTGCCTTGTGCCACTATAAAAACCCAGTAGGATTTTGACCAATGGTATTTTAAAGAGTTGCTGTGGGTTTTTCAGGCTGTTTGGCCATGTTCTGAACATGACCAAACAGCCCAAAAAACCCACAACAACCATCGGATCCTGGCTGTGAAAGCGTTTGAGAACACGGCATTTTAAATGCTTTTCTGTATTGTTTTGGAGTTTTTTGTTGTTGTTGTTCAGGTAAAACTGAGTAAATGTATATGTGCTTGTAAGGCTGGTCAAGATCTATTTCAGTATCTATCTTATCTGCTGATCTATCCATCCATTCTTAATTTGAACCTTTTCGTGTGCTTAAAGAGTATTTTCAGCATTCCAGTTGTTAAGATTCCATAAAAACGATGTTATATACTGTATAAAATTACCCTGCAGGTTTGAAATACACAAGTACAAAATTTTAGAAAAAAAAATCTTTATTAATCTTCAACATTAGCAGGAACAAACAGAAAACACAATTGAATCCAGACCTACATTTTCTAATACCTTCTAATACCAAAAGGATATTTGAAGAGCCTAGAGTTGGATTCAAAAATAAATGTTGCTGTAGAAGCAAACATTCTTTAACCAAAATATGTTTTCTGTTAAGCTTTTACGGATTGCAACCTGCTTCTATGGCAGGCTGTAATTCAGAAAAGCCTATACCAAATAGAATTAGAAAGACAAATTAAAGACTAAAGTGCTAAAACACTGTGGTTTAGCTGCAACTAGACCACCAGCTGACACACTCTTCCTCTGGACACTGCTAAAAGTATATATGTTTCCTTTTTCAAAACAGGGTACCGTGGGATTTGAAGGTCAGATCAACAAATGTCTTGAATTAGCAGAATACCTCTATAATAAAATAAAAAACAGAGAGGAGTTTGTGATGGTTTTTGAAGGAGAGGTAAGTAGTAAACCAAAGGCACCTTTCAACTAAACCAGGTATTTGGGGAAGAGAAAATGCACCACCCCATCCAAAGCTAAGTGCTTTAAACCCCCATTAATTTTAGTCGGATGGATTTTAAAGACACGTTTGCTTTATCCCCAAGTTTTTTGTACACATTTAATCACAGAAAGCATGGTAATGGTTCCACCTCTGCCAGTTTTTTATTAATTGAGAAAATGTTTGCTTCTTGTTTTTGCTTTTCAAGGAAACATCACTGCAAAAGTACTTGAGTTCTGCCTGAATTGTAAAGCACTTGTGATGGGCTCCATCTATCAGCCCAAGACCTTAAAAACTATGAAAAGAATTCTGTGAGCAAAATAGAGTTTGCTTTAGGCTTCTTTTTTTCAGAAACAGCAGTGGGACGTGTCATGTGAGGAAAGTACTTTTGAAACTGAAGGAAATTTCAAAATCAGTTTATAATATGGAATGGGCGCCTAGTCATTACAAAGGGAATATACTAAAACAAACGACCAAGAAATGACAATTGAACTACATTGGTTCATACTGAATGGCCACGTTAATACACTTCATTTCAGAATCGTTAATACGGAGAATGAATACACTGACTCGTACGGGTACACTGAATTTCAGAAACACAGAGTGACTCCATGCTTCTGCTGTGGAGGCACTGGATTGTGTTGAGTGGCCATGGGTGCAATGTGTTCTGAATTTAACAAATTAAACTTTCCTCTTAGTTTGTGCAGCTCTTGCATAAGCCTTGACACATCTTTGCTCCTCCTGAGCATAAGTCTATCTACTCCTTATTTTGCCATGCAGCTCTTTGCTCCTCCTAAGCATAAGTCTATCTACTCCTTATTTTGCCCTTTCATCTAAAACCCACTATCTTTCCACAAGCTGAACAAGAGTGAATGGCATCCTCCACCAAAAAAAGCCAGGCTTCCCTACAAAAGCTGAGGCTCATAAACCGATTGGCTGCCTTAAAGTATTCCACTCTTAGACTTCCATGCTTCATCTTCTGTGCTGCAAGGTTTCCACTTTTGTTAATCCTGCTGCCCTTTCGGGAAGTGCCACATCATAAACTCTGGGTGATTGGACACTGTGGACTTCTAATTCCTTCTTTACCTTCCAGACCTGATTATTTTATGTAAGAAAATGAGAGGGTGTGTTTGTTTGGGGGGAGGGAGAGAAATTTTTGGCATCCAAGCATAAGGAGAGGGAAGGCATTCTTTTAGAACTTAATGCTTGAAAACGGGCTGTACTCCGTGTGGATTCTGAACTTTTTAATTTAACTAAATGTGTGCCATCAAGTCAATTCCGACTTATGGCAAGCCTTTTCAGGGTTTTCCTTGTCAAGAATACTCTGAAGTGGTTTACCATTCCCTTCTTCTGGCGATGCCCTGGGACTGTGCAGCTTGCCCAAGGCTACATAGGGTGGCTCTACTAACAGGAGGCACAGTGGGGAATAGAACTCCCAACCTCTGGCTCTACAGCCAGAGACTCACTGAACTACTCAGCCAGCTGCATTCTGAACTACTGTTTGTGTATGAGAGAGAGAAAAAGACAGGATTGGAACCACAGCATTATCGGCTATTAACAAGCACAGTGAGCTCCAGATGAGTTCAAAGTCCTCACCCAAGCCTCCATATAAGTAATTTCCATCCTCAGTTGACTTCCCCAATCCATTTTCCTGTGATCTGAAGAGAAGAAAGAGCAGTGGTGACAGTGGGAAGTACTTCTCATTACTGAAGTGACAGGTTGAGCGGGCGCCATGATTGAATCACTAAAATGTCACAAATAAGATGAGCTTTTGAGTTCCCTAGAGCCCCTCATCAGAGACTCCTCAAGTAACATTCGGAGCTAATCAAATTTTGAGAAAGATGTAATCCAGGTATTGTTTAGTTCTACGTATGTGGTATGTGCCTGAGGAGGGACTGTAGATATTAGCATCGTATTTTCATGAGCGGTTTATTTGCTTTACAGCCTGAACACACAAACGTTTGCTTCTGGTACATTCCACCAAGTCTCAGAGGGATGCCGGACTCTGAGGAAAGAAGAGAGAAACTACATAGGGTAATTTATATTTCTTTATTTAAATTATTTGTAAGCAATCTTCTACAGCAAGCCCCTCCCAAGACAGTATAAAGTCACTTAAAACCATACAGTAAGACCACGTAAGGACTAATAATAGCAACAGCAGAAAAGAGGATGTAAAATAAATAAAGGTCACCAAGGTCACCAAAGAGTTACCCTCTGGTTTCCGCCCTCCTCTGCAACATGGAGTGCTGGCCAAGCACATTAAGTTCTTACTTCATTGGGGGTGCGCCTAGGATTCCACCCCCACCCCCAAGTATTAAACCAAACTTCCCCCAACCTTCAAGTTCCTCCAAACCTTCTGATACCATCTTCTGCATAGAACAGTGGTTCTCAACCTTGGGTAACCCAGATGTTCCCGCACTGCAACTCCCAGACGCCTTCACCACCGGCTGTGTTGGCCGGGTTTCTGGGAGTTGCAGTCCAAGAACACTTGAGTTACCCAAGGTTGGGAACCACCAGCATAGATAATACAATTTTGTTTCTATAATCCTAGGCACTGGGAGAATAGGTTAGCTTTTGAAACCTATTATATAATTATTCTGCACAAGTTGACACTTCCAAAACTTAAAGGCAGCCCCAGTAGTCCAGAGGAAATAAGCACATATCTATGAACTACTTCTTTGTTTGTTGAAGGGGAAGGGTTTGGAATGGGTCTAGCCTGCTCTCTGAGCTGGGTGCCTTTTCTCTGGATCCCTGTATGGCTGCTTGTATTGATGCTAGTTAGTTTGGGGCGGGGTTCTCTTGACTGGGTTTGTACTTCAAATATATTTGTGCAAAAGCTCCTTTTCCAAAAAATTTGGCTAAACGATTTAATTGGAAAAAAGTTTTAAACAAGGTGGCTGTTGGGCAAAACTACCCGTATTTTTTTTTTAAAAAAATTAAATAAAATTTGGACTTATTCCGTGCATTCACTTTAACAGGAGTATGTTACCTTAAATGCATTCTGCATGAACTGATTTATGGATAAGGTGATTATTATCTTTACTTGAAGTTGTATTTTCTTAAATGTGTAGGCAAGGCCAGCAACAGATTCTATGAAAAAAGCAGTGAATGGTCAATTATTCTGTGTATGGTTGTACTTTTACCGCCATGAAAAGCATTCTTTGAATGTTTTGCCTCAGGGGCCCCAAAATGTCTGTGGGCCATCCTTCTCTGATGGGATGGTTATACCTGCTGTGCTTCCCCATTGGGTTGATTTATGACTGAAGAAGGCCATCAGAGCTGCCTGCAAAACAGCAAACACTTTCATGCATGGTGCTTCCCCCCCCTCTCCAAAACAGTTTTTAAAAAGGAGGCAATAAAGTCTTTGGATTTATGAGAATTGTGGAGTTTTTCCTTCATTGCTGCTGTTTTTGAATGTCCATCAGCAACAACTGTCTGCATTTGTCCATTTCCTACCTTTTTCTTACCGTGTTTTCTGTCTCTCACTTCTCTCTGCCTAGCTGGCATGGTTAGAAATTAGGGACTATAGCAGCTGTTCCATGAATAACAGGCTTCTCAACTGTATCCTTTCTTCCCTGCATCAAAGGTGGCACCCAAAATCAAGGCTCTGATGATGGAATCAGGCACCACAATGGTTGGATATCAGCCGCAGGGAGACAAAGTCAACTTCTTCCGAATGGTTGTTTCAAATCCTGCCGCTACCAAGTCTGACATTGACTTCCTGATTGAGGAGATAGAAAGACTGGGGCAGGACCTGTGATGCACTGTAATGGCCTGTTTTACTTCTCCAGAACGCTATTTTCCAATGCTGGCTCTTTAAAAAAAAAAACAGTTCTGTAGCAAACATTTTAAGGTAATCTCTTTCTAAATGTTTAATTCATCTGAGATGTTCATTTTAAAACAGTCTCTCTCTCTCCCTCCCTCCCTCTCTCTCTCTCTCTCTCACACACACACACACACACACACACCTATAGATTTCTGAAACATATTTATGTATTATACAGAGGGGAAAAGATATTATCTTAGGCTGTATAACTGACCCACTTTGATCCTGATAATTTCTAGGTAACAGGAAGCTAATTCTAGTAAGATAGCTGATTAAGAATATATATTATAGAAATAAAATGGTGATATGTCTAAGAGTAATTCACAGTGTTCTTTCTAATGCAAAAGTATTCTCAGTCAAGAACTGCTCTTGTGTAGCTCCATTCATGTCAATAGGGCTTGACCAGAGCATTGCTTGTTAGACTGTACTCCAGTGTTTATACTCTAAGTTACCTGGGGATTTACACCCATTCGTTTCAGAAGAGCCATCTGCCTTCTGCTGGTCAGTGGCAAAAATTGCTGCTACTTTTAATGAGCACAACCCAGCTGAAGTGAAGCATTTTTTAAAGAACTGAAATCAATAACACTTAAGACCACTTGGTGTTATTGTGCTTGTGTGTAGCATGTCAGGGTTGTGCCCGTTATTTAGGTTTGGGGTGTAAATAAGCTAATGTTTCCACCAAAACGCAAACTCATGCAATGACCAGGCGAATTCATGATCTCCCTGGTGAAACTGGGAACGGAAACATTTTTAAAGATGTAGATGCTTAGGAACTTAAGAAAATGTTTAAACATTATTTAAACTTCATTGTTGGTGCTTCTCAGAAACAAACCCAAAAGAGAACCACCTAGTAGCTGTGTGTATGTCCCCTTCAGTTCTCATATCAAGGGGACTGTAGTAGGCTCGTAGCTGAGTTGTTGTAATAGATTGTATTATTGTTGTATTTTTTAGAATTCAATTTGTGTAGATTGTGTACATTACTGTTAAATGGAGAGGGGGTTAAATGTCATAATTTTTCAACAAGATAACTGTTCAGTTCTAGGTATATGAACTGTTTGCTTCTTTATATGCAAAGATTTACCATGCTAAAGACTTGTCTTGTATTTTCTTCCATTTGTAATGTATCCTATTTATATAATTATCAAAGGTTCTAAATAACGTTTATTGGTATTTTAGTGTATTTGTGAGCCAAAGAGGAGGTTGAAAATTAGCTGACATGTTTATATAATAGTGCCCTTAAAACAGTAACTTAAATAATTTTACTGTCTATAAGAAACCCTAACACTGTATATAGATTTTAGTGTAATGAAATCCTTTCATTTTAATAGAGATGTCACCTTTGCTAATGATACTGTAGACTGTCTGTACATTCAGTGTTCTGGTTGCTTTTTATTTCTTTTTCCTTCTAGTGATTCACGGATGCTTAAACCAGGCCCCTACACATTCCCCTGGTTGTTGAGGGCCAAATTCTGTAGTTTAGATAAATTCTATGGCAAGATCAGCAAAGACCATTCTGTGAAAGAGCCACATTTAGGTCTGTCTCCTGACTCTGAAAAGAATGTCATTTGAAATGTAGAAGAGTGGAGAAAGAGGAGCTTGCCACAGAACCTGTGTTGAGTTATGGGTGCCTTGACGTAATAATGTCGCACTGTCTAGTTCTCCGGCTCAGCTCAGATTTTTTTTTTAGCTAAGCCTCCAGTATTAAATGGGAGTCCTCAGTCAATCGCATGACTAGTGGGCCAAGCAAAGTTACAGGACTGTTGACACAATTACTCCAGTCAAGCCACGTCTGCTGACTTCAGACCTTCCCAGAAATGCTACTACGGTAATGATTGCTGCTAGCTTCAATTAAAGACTGCACAAAGCTCCTCAAGGTGCCCGTCCTACTGAAAGGAATGGAGCACTTGTAAATCAACAAGAATTGCATGCAGATAACTTAATACGGGATTTATGTTCTGGATTTTAACAAATAAATAATAATGTTTTCTTGGGAAACATTAGCAATAGTTTGATGAATGTTTGCTGGGATTTGTGTAGCTTTTGACTTTTTGGTTCCAGGAATTTTTCAAGTGTAGAATGAATATGATTGTACAAGTCCACATCTTCTCTTAGAGAGCCTTGACACTGCTGCCCTCCTTATTCTCTGCTTCTTCACACTCTCTCATGTGTTTGGCTTTCCCTTCTGCCTTCAAGTGATCAGCACTTCAGAACCATATTGGGCCCGGACTGTCTTAAATGTGTTAAGCAAGCCTATGGTATTTAGATATCATATGGATGGAACAAGTGAGAAGCCATTCAGAAGAGTCTGCTATCTCTAATTAATTTATAAATATAGACAGTTTTAGTCTCTAATAAAAAAATTAGCCACCTCTGTCATTTAATGTGACGTGAACTTCTTCTTCTTCTTCTTCTTCTTCTTCTTCTTCTTCTTCTTCTTCTTCTTCTTCTTCTTCTTCTTCTTCTTCTTCTTCTTCTTCTAATTAGGAAAGGTTGTGGGTCTCCTCCCTTTTTCTTCATCTCTCTCCCAATTGCAAGCAACTTTGTTGGTTAAAGATCTCCTTGACTTTAATTTTGTTCAATGCAGTGGAGTAAAAGCCATGGCCTCTTCACCTTAATCTATGCTGCCCCTTTTTCCATTCTGGCTGCGACATTGACCTATGTTTTCCAACACACACAGGTGATTAGCTATATTTTCAAACCCAGAGCCTTACTGCTCCTAAAACTACATTGTCATTCTTTTCCTATACCCTTAAGTATCCTGCCATTTCTGCTTCAGCCCAGTTTTTTTTGTTTTATGCAACTTGGCAACGTCCAAGGGGGTTGTCGAGACTTGTTTGTTTAAAGACCACTTGATTGCTCCCTATCAGTTAGCCATGTAAAAGCTAAATAACAACCATTTTGTTAGTATTGCTGGCCTCATCAGGGACTTGGGATATTTTTGTACAAGCCTCAGTGCTTGCACGAGTGGATCCTGCCACTGATATCAACGATAGCTTCAGTGTTGGTTGTCCTCTTCTTAAATCCTCATTTAAACTGGGGGCAGGGGGAAGTCTCCACTTAATATATGGTTTGTTTTTTTCTAGGAAAGTGTTTGCATTCTGAGTCAACCAACTGATACATATTTCCAGTTGATAACCTGTTATTTGGCCATTGTTAAATAGTCCGTGCATTCATGAGGTTACCTTTCTAATACCATTGTGGGGGCAAGGATAGGAGTCTTCTTTCTTTCTTTCACCCCAACCCTGCACCAGATGGGGTAAGCCTATTGACAGAGCAAACCTTCTCCCACTGACTACTCCCACCTGTAACTACAAGGATCTCCAGCCTGGAATATTGAGCTGTCCTCAATGGCAAAGGCCTCACCTAGTGGATGGAACAGGGGATGAAGACCAGGGAGACTCAGACTGGCGTTGTCCTTTGGCCATGAAGCTCACTGGGGAATGTTGAATCGGTCACGCGTTCTCATCCTAACCTACCTCGCAGGGTTGTTGTGAGGCAGAAAAATAGAGGAGTGGATTATGTATGCTATCCTGAGCTCCTTGGGGAAAGGGTGTAATAAAATAATGTAATAAAATAAAAATAAATAATTTTTTAAGCTTAATGTTATTGTTTCACAATCACAATACTCACATTTGCCAAACCTACATTTCCTACAATTTTCATTAAGAAAATTCACTCCCTAGTGGATAATTCTGAATAAGAGCCCACTCTGTCTGTCCTTCCTAATCTAGTGCCACTCCACTCAGTAATGGGCCACAGTGGCATGGAAGAAGAGCCACAGCATAGATGCCTCTAGCACACCTTGGTGCTTTTCCACTATCCGTTTACAACCTGAGAAGGAATTAGGACCTCCCTGGTTCTCTTTCATAAAACGTACCTCATTATTTCCTGCTAAATCTATGGAACTCCCTGCTATTGTGTAGGTCTCTTTGGTAAAGGTAAAGATTCCCTCTGAAAATTTGTCCAGTCGTGTCTGGCTCTAGGCAGCAGTGCTCATCTCTGTTTCCAACCCATAGAGCTAGTGTTTGTCCGCAGAAAATTCTCCATGGTCACGTGGCCGGTGCGACTAGACACGGAATGCCATTTACCTTCCCACCGAGGTGGTACCTATTTATCTAATCACATTTTTGCATTTTGCATGCTTTCAAACGGCTAGATTGGCAAGAGCTGGGGCAAGCGACGGGGGCTCACTCTGTCGCGTGGATTCGACTACAGGTCTTCTGACCTTGCAGTACAGAGGCTTCAGCGGTTTAACCCGCAGTGCCACCATGTCCCTTTTAAAGATCTCTTTACCCCCACCTAGATTCACTAACATCAATATTTTTTTAAACTTCAATAAGGCTGGTACTTCAGCATCAAGTGTCAAATGAAACACCACTGGTTAAGATAATCCAAACTGTCTGCAGGAGTTTGTTAAATAGACAGTATTTTCCAGAAGGGAACTCACTCACTGAAGTTGCAGGTGTTTGAAGTAATGCTTGATGACAGATTTTGATTAGCTTAAGGAAGAAATTGTTGGTGACACCAGCCCTTCAGGGACTTTTTCGGTTCAGTCCAAAATATCCTAATACCACACACGCGTATCCAAAAGTACCATTTCCTGTCATTTTCTCACAGGGCACCAAATCTTTTCTAACACCTCAACTGAAATTTTTATTATCCAGAGAGGATAGATGGACGGGTGGATTTTTTTTTGAACTTGGGCAGAACCGTCAGCCAATTAAGACTTTCAGTCTCTCAAAACTAATTAGAATGAGTTGGCCTAATCTGACCTCCTCTAGGGATTAAAATGCTTTTTTCCCCTCACTCACTCACCTCATCATCTATTCCTAAGCAACTACCATCAGCCAGACTCAACTCTCACCAGTCACCAGAAATATACTGGCTGAGCTGTTACTTAACATAGATTTGTCACTGCTAGGATAGGCTCATGGAATCAGTGGAATTTACAGAGGAGTTGATTCACCAGATCTACTCTGGTTGCAATTTAACACACCGAGCAACAGGATTTCAGCCACTGTTTTAAATACAGTATCTCTCTCCTCTGTCCCCTTGAGAAAGTGTTCTCAAAAAAGTGTCACATCACAAGTAGAGGTGGCAGTGAGCAATTAGGAGCTATGTCTATGTCCCAATCAACGCTCTTCCTATATGTCAGTCAGCCCTTTGAGCATTCAGCATGAAGGTCTGAGGAGATGCTTGTAAGCCTATTCAGCCAAATGTACTCACAGCACTTCTGTGACTAGATCCATGATAAGGCAGGGAATCTTGATCGCAGAAGTGTTGCAAATCCTATCCAACCAAATGCACTTACAAACACTTCTTCAGATCTTTATAGGAATGAATGCATAAAATGTGATTGAAAATAAACCAGGGGGCATTTGGGGTGGCACTTAAGTCCTCATCCTTGTCTGCATCATGCTTACAGCCCAAATTACTTTCAAGTTATAATACCTGAATAAGACTAGTCTCCTTTGACAATATGCCGTTTGTTTGTTTGTTTGTTTTGTTTTGTTTGTTTGTTTGTTTGTTTGTTTCAAGTTTTCCCTGCCATCTAGTGACCAGGCCACTACTCTGGGCAACTTAGAATATCACAACATAGACATGGACTAAAACTAAAATAATAATCAAATTAAAATATCATGCAACTGGACCTCAGAGAAGTCATAAAACATAGGCAAATTTCTATGTGAAAATACATTCTTTTAAGTATTCCACACACACCCAAGCTACTTAGGGCTTCACTTAGCTTTTTTTTAAGAGAATCTAATATAGAAAACCTAGTAGAGAAGTCACCTCTATTACAGTTGCAGTAAAATTATGAACCGAATTGTGTCATACCACAGTGTGAGCTTTGTGGTGCTTTTCTTGTTGTTTACCCACATATTCTTCTCAAGTTATATGGTAAAATGGGTGCTTAATTTATAAAATTTAAATTGCAGGTGGCTACTTCTGGTCCAGGGAACTAGCAGTCATTCTTTCCACACAGTTACAGAGTACATGGTTGGTGTTCACAAGAAAAATACCTAAAACCTAGGTACGATATTCCCACTTAGGTTGTGGCAATTTGCGTGTGTGTATCCCCCACTGGTGCAGAACTTGAATTTTGCCATAACAGTTGTAAGATATTGTAAGAATGAATGCTGCATGTTATACATGACACAAGCTATACCCACAATCCACTGCAAGCTAAGAATTACTATAGGAAGGACTCCCTCCCATCCCCATTCATGATCAGCTCAAGATGGTTGTGTGAGATGAGATGGCATGCCAGAGTTGTCAGTGGTTGCTAAACAAGAACAAAAGAAACAGGTAAATTCAGAATAATTGTTCACAGAAGAACTCATGCCAATTCAAATACAGTTGCTTTTGTACTTTATTAGCTAAATTAATCATTTTGTTTTTGTTGTTGTTTAGTTGTTATGTTGTGTCTGACTCTTCGTGACTCCATGGACCAGAGCATGCCAGGCCCTCCTGTCTTCCACTGCCTCCTGGAGTTGGGTCAAATTCATGTTGGCAGCTTCGATGACACTGTCCAACCATCTCGTCCTCTGTCGTCCCCTTCTCTTCTTGCCTTCACACTTTCCCAACATCAGTGTCTTTTCCAGGGAGTCTTCTCTTCTCATGAGATGGCCAAAGTATTGGAGCCTCAGCTTCAGGATCTGTCCTTCCAGTGAGCACTCAGGGTTGATTTCCTTTAGAATGGATAGGTTTGTTCTCCTTGCAGTCCAGGGGACTCTCAAGAGCCTCCTCCAGCACCACAATCCAAAAGCATCAATTCTTCAGCGGTCAGCCTTCTTTATAGTTCACCTCTCACTTCCATACATCGCTACTGGAAAACTCATAGCTTTGACTATGCGGACTTCTGTTGATAAGGTGATGTCTCTGCTTTTAAGATGCTGTCTAGGTTTCTTATTGCTTTCCTCCCAAGAAGCAGGCATCTTTTAATTTCGTGGCTGATGTCACCATCTGCAGTGTTCATGGAGCCCAAGAAATTA